AAGAAGGCGAACCCCACACCTGCCCAGCTACTCAGGCAGCCACTACTGGCCATTTCTAGGAAATGGATTTGACTGTTTTTCCAGGAGAAAAAATCTAATCTTCTCCAAGGTAAAGGCTAAAGTTTTTTCTTTTTCCCCTTTGCACTTGGAGTACTGTTGGTCCAAGCTGTGTACTGCTGTCAGCTGGCATGGCGGCTGCAGTGAAGGGTGCTGAGGATGCAAGCCAGCATGTTAGCTGTGGGTTAGTCCAAGTCCATTCCAGTGGCTTCTGCAGAGGGCTGGGCTGAGAGTGTGGATCCTAGGTCCCCAGGAGCTGTCCAGTGATTAAAACAAATTTGCAGTCATACAGCAAGGCAACCAAGGCAACAGTTTAGTAAACGGACAAAGGCTGGCATTGGGCCCTGGTAGGGAAAAGTGTTATTTAACCCTTTGAGCCATTTAAGGTGGAAGAGGGTTTTTTTACCAGTTCGTCTTCTTTTTTTTTAAGATTTATTTATTATGTATACAGTGTTCTGCCTGCATGTATGACTACAGGCCAGGTGAGGGCACCAGATCCCAGTTCTCATTACAGATGGTTGTGAACCACCATATGGTTGCTGGGAATTGAACTCAGGACCTCCGGATGAGCAGCCAGTCCTCTTAACCACTGAGCCATCTCTCCAGCCCCAGTTTGTCCCTTTTGCTAGACTCAGTCCCACACAGCTTGTTAGGTCCAAGGACTCGTTCCCATCTGGACTTAGGAAATCTGGACTGACCGTCACAGCCCGTTTCCCTTCCTCTCAGCTGGTGCCTCCTAGCTAGCACCTGAGCATGCGCAGCAGACAGGGCAGCTGGCTGTGTGCGCGTCACCTGGGCATCGAGATTGTGCAGCTGAGGTGGAACAGCAGTGCCTCTCACAGAAATGCTTTCCGTGGTCCATCCCAGCAGTCAGAAATGACCACTGGACACTTCATTTATTTATTTGGGAGTTCATTTGTTTTGAGACAGGATTTCTCTGTGTAACCCTGGCTGTCCTAGAACTCACTCTAACTCAGAGATCTGCCTGTCTGCCTCCTAAGCACCACAACTCCCTGACAGACTACCAGACATTTTACTACCGAGAAAACCTGGTGGCAGGTGCTCACTAGAGCATTTCTAGTCTCACCTATGTCAGAAGATTTGGAGGAGGTGCTGGGACCCCTGCAGAGCCAATAGTCCTGGTTAAACCCAGCTGACCCCCATTCCAATTTTTGGTTTTCACTAGGATGTGCTGCTGCTCAGTCAGTTCATCCGGCCACACGGAGGCATGCTGCCCCGGAGTGTCACAGGCTTGTGCCTGGAAGAACACCGGAAGATCGAGGAGTGTGTAAAGATGGCTCACCGAGCAGGTCAGAGTACCCAGGACTAAGGGGTGGTGGGGACTGTCGCAGCTGGAAGAGGGGTGATGAGCAGAACATTGGTGCTGTGACCCTGCTCCCCACTCCCATGGTCTGCACCCCGGCCCTTCAGAACTGTGGAGGCTGACCCTTTGTGTGTTCTTCTCCTCAGGTCTCTTACCAGATCACAGGCCACGGCTTCCAGAAGGGTCCTTATCCAAGAATAAACCCAAGCTCAACCGGTAAGAAAACATGAGCACAGTCGACCTAAGCACTCTGGACTCATGGCTCTCACAGCAGCCCAGGAGAACCAAAGTGTTCCTTGGCTGTCTGCTCCATTCCCAGCCAGCCCGAGTACACACCCACATCTTCCCCACCACCGTACTGTATGCTGGCTACCACCTCCCTCTGGCCCACTCTCTCTTTTCTGTCCTAGAGGGTCTTGGCCTTGACACGGACAAGGAGGCTGCTGGTTGGGCAGTAGAATATGTTAATCCCGTTGATGACATCACTGCATTGCTATCGGGATGTCAGACCATTACTACAAATTTCAGTATCCCAACTCTCTCCAACACTAGGGTCATTACAGGGCAGAGCAAGGCCTTGGCCATGGAGGACTGTCTGGGATAGGGCCACTGTACACGGCATTGCACCAAGGAAGCCTGCATATAGGTTCAGTCACCCATGCTCCCTAAAACTAACAGCCTACACAACTTCCTTGGCATCTTGAGCTGTTCTGAGGTCTTAAGGGGAAGAGATGAAGTCGGCCCTCCTACAGCAGCAGGGTAGGCAAGCCCCTCTGGAGTGAGAGCAGATTCTCAGCTAACATTCAGACAGCTATCCTGTTGTAGGATCCCCTCTCCTGATGTCAGCCTGACAGGCAATTTAGTCTATAATATCCCCTTGTTGAGAGGAGAGCTGGGTCTGTAGAATTGATTTCGCAGTTCTTATGCCCCCAGTGGCCTTTCCCTCCTCTAGTGTGTCAAGCTGCCTCTGCTGATCGTGAGAACGCAGATGCTCTGCAGGGTGACTGAGGCAGAAGGAGACTCCGAAGCCCCCACAGATCTTTACAGAGATCCCTACCATCCCAGGTGGATGCGGGGAGCCAGGTTGCTAGGTGGAGGATGTGAGGTGGGGTAATTTAAGCTTGCTTCCTTGTGCCTTGCCTCCCCAGTCCTAGATCCTGCAGAGCTGGGCTCCTTGCCAGGAGCCCCAAGGAGCAGGGCGTGCTCTGGTCCGCTCAGGGGTTGAGCCCACCCCCACCCTGGCTTTTAAGAGACAGCAGCAAGCCTGAGGACACAATCCATCCTGCCCTCGGGCCTTTGAAGCTAGGCCAGGCTCCCTCCCTTACATCCGGTGTCCTTTAGTGTGACACGGGATTGATGATGTGTGGGGGCTCTTGAGTTGCAAAAGGCCATCCTGGGGGAGGGGAAGTCCTGGCTCAGGAGGCACTGATCCCTGTACAAGGGATGCTGTGATTGCACCCAAAGGTCCCTAGTCTGTACTCAAGGGCCTAGGCCCGCTCACTCCTCCATGTCCTCAGCACCCTGGTGCAGCAGTACCTTCTCCAGCAGAGGGGATGGTCTTCCCGTTCCTGCTCTCCTGTGCACCAGGGTCCAGGCCAGCCCTCCTTGCTCAGAAGAGATGTAAAGGGAGTGATTTGGAAAGAGCTGAGGTGTTCACAGAGGGCTGACTGAATGCCACCTAGCCTACCCATCAGCTGGCTGCCCCATGTGGAACAGGCATCAGGAGAGTCTGGTCAGCTGGGGTCTTCTGGAGTCCTGCTGAACACCCTTTTTCAGGGGCCACTGTCAGACCCCCATCCTTACCTCTCCCTCCTGGGACAAAGGCCAGCTGGTGGTGAGGGAGCCCATGCTAGTCCGACCTGCCGTTCTAGAACCACTGATGAGAGAGAGCAGCCCCTGTGCAGGCAGCACACCCCAGCCAACTGGGGAAGGCCTTGTCTTCCTACCTTCTGAGGCCAGCTCACACCGGGTCCAGGATGGACCTCCCGGTCCTCCATAGGCCATCAGCTGAAGACCAGGGTTCAGAGGAACACAGCGGAAAGGCATGCATGAGTCAGCAGTCCTTCTTTCAGCCAAAGATTTCAGCCAAAAAAATAAATTTAATTTCTGCCAGGAATACTAGTTTTTAAATTAAGTTTTTACTTGACGGTCTCTGGAGGAGGCCAGGGCAAGCTTCAACCTCACATAGAACACAGGAGGACCCCTGGCCTTTGTGGCTGAACTTTAAGGATAAAGGATGGATCTTTCTGGTCAGGAGCCAGGTTTCATATGAACAGAGTAAACCCCAATCTTGGTGCTGTGAGCCACTTTTCCAGGAACAGTCTGGGCCCAGGCTATCCCCAAAGGAGGCCAGAGGACCATGGGTGGCCGCCATCTTTCCCTGCCTCTCCCACTTACAGGAACCCTCTGGGCTGGGATTGCACCCTCTATGTTCATCCCTTGCTTCTCGTCAGACTGGATGACGGGTGGAGTCCTGCACCAGTGTGGTACCCCGAGGAGTTCCCTGGAGGCTAGGGCATCTAGAGCAGCCAACTGGGGAAGAGTGGCAGGGTTCTTCTGCCTTTATCCTTCCCTGTGTCGGGCCAGAGAGCTGTTGTCCAAGCAGCCTCTTCCTTGGCCTTCTCCCTCAGTAGATGACACTGGCAGCTTAGAAAGATGAAGGGAGCTGGGCCTGGGCTCCTGACCCTGACTGACTCTAACCACACACTTGAAACAGCAAGAGCCCGTTCATTTATAAAACAGCAGTTTCTCCCAGGAAAAATCCTTTGCCCTTTGAGAAGGGAAAACTGGTGAAAGATGGCGCAGTTACTACAGCCCAGTCCCGGGGTTTAGTGCCCTACTCTTCTGTCCCAGCATGCCAACCTTCTTGTGTTCCCTCCACAGCTACCTGACTCGCTGGGCTCCCAGCTCTGTCAAGCCCATCTATAAAAAAGGCCACCGTTGGGATAAGGTGGGGATGGCTGTGGGGTCACCACTCCTGAAGGACAATGTCTGCTACTCCAGAAGGCCTTTGAAGCTGATGCATTAATGGGAGCCGCGCTGCTGAATATCTTGACCAGAACCTTCCAGATGATGCACTTGCCCCTCCCACCAGAACCACTGCCCTCCACACACAGCATGGGAACTTCAGAACTAACTTCTGTTCCTCGGATCTGCCCAGCCATGGTGTTGGGAGCCGGGGCAGGCAGGAACTGGCCTGTGGTCTTCTGACTAGCTCGGGCTGAGGTCTGTGCAAGGGCAGGAGCCTTACACAAAGAAAGGTAATAAAGCAGGCTCTCGGCTTCCCAGTGTGGTCACTGCTTAGAAGTGTGGGGCACACTTCAGAATGCGAAGCTGCTCGTCTCTGGATGGCCCTGTCTGCCAATGGAGTGGGTCCATGTGCACACACAGGTGCCCATCCTCTGCCAATAGGCATCACACTCTAGTGGGGACCTAACCACAAGTAGCTTTCAGTAGAGTCGAGGAACCTCAGCAGACACCTGACCATCCCATCCGCGGCTGCTCCTGTCTCTACATGGTGTCTCCTTGGGAGTGCACTCCTCCTCTCTGCTCAGCAGGCCTTTCAGACCCAAGTCTCTGGATGGGGAACAAAATGACCAAAACCATGACAACAAAGAGGCCTAATGTGTCAGACTTTATGGAAATAATGTTTAGACTGCACATAAATACCCAGACTGCCCCTCCTATAGCATGAAGGGTAAGTCCATGTTCTTCTCACCCGTGCCCACGTAAATGTAGCCATAGTTCTTGGTGCGGGGAGCGTGGTAGAAGGTGAGGCCCGGCCAGAGCAGGCTGCGCAGCACCACCAGCGCGTTGCCCCTCTCCATCTGGATACTCCAAGACCCTGGAGGGGACAGAGGGGAGTGGAGGCCTGGGGCTGAGGTGCCACTGTAAAAGCTGCTGTGCTCCTGGCTGCTGCTGCTCATTATGACACACAGGGAAGATAATGAAGACGTGAAATGCCAATTTAGGGCTTAGGGGATCGGCAGACAGAGTGGCTCCTTCCCCTTGCACTAGAGTAAATCACCGTGACCTTGAACCTCTGTTCTGAGATGGACGGGACAACCAGGGACTCAAGCTGAAGTTGTCCCCGCTCCCACCTCAGAGGTTTTCCTAACTGCTGGTAGGTGGAGCTATGCTTGGTGTGATGGGACATCGGTTGCTGAGTCGGCCCTGTGCTACTCCAGACACAGCAGCTTAGACCAGGCCAAACTGTGTAGCCAGAAGGACTTGGCCGGGAAGGGCCTGATCCAGCTCCAAGGGAGGGATCCACTGTGTGGGAGGAAGGAGCCTGGGAAAATCGCCTCTGGATGCAGATCTGGAGCTTCTATTCCCCTGCGCACCGAGGCCTCACCCCCAAACCAGCCACAGCCCTGCTCAGGGCCCTGCCAGGAAGGCAAATACTTTTGAAGGTTTTGGTGCAGGACCAACCAGTTCTGCTCTGAGGGCTGTTCTGGGGCCTTCATCAGTTGCCAGCTCAGCCCTGTTGCTGGCTCCCACCACTTGAGCTTCCCGCAGTCTACCTCCAACCATGGCCCACCCTGGTCACTCCACACCCAACAGCCTCACAATTCAATCCCCACCCTCTGGGGGCCACCCTGCATCCGAAAAGCTGGTCCCTGCATAGCTAGCTGTCTGCCCTGGTCAAAACCAGAGCTTTCTGGAAGCATGGAGGTCTGCTGCCCCTGGACCTGACTCAGCCATGCATGGGACGATGAGGTGGTGGTTACACCATGGGTTTGTCATTGCCCCATCATCAAGAAAGACTCAGAACATCATGTATGACAGGCCCTGGCTGGAGCGGCACCTGACCAACAGCTGTTCTCTGGGAACCTGAGAACCTTGGTGGCATTCTTGGTCACAAGTCTCCAGAGAACATTGTTTTGGGGGAGATGAGGATGGAGTGTGACAGAACAAAGTGTTTCAGGTCTTGTGTCTGGTCATTGCCAACAAACCCAGGAATATACTGTTCTCTAGCCTTAGTCACTGCACCAGGGCCCAGCGCATCCACAGAGACCTTGGAGTCCACAGCTTCACAGACTCCTTGAGATAAGCAAGCCCAGACTGCGATTGCTCTGCCCACCAAAGGAGACTGACTTGTTAACTTCCCTTGCCCGAGTACTAGCCTGGAGAAAACAGCCTAGGGTCTACCCCCATCCTCACTGCAGCCAGATACCCATCGGTTCAGCCAACAACATGGTGGCAGGGCCCCTCACACCAGCATGCCTGATCACCTCTTGTTTCCAGTAGATGGGGAACAGAAGTTGGGATGAGTGGCCCAGGCCCAGTAACGGGGAAAACTGTGAGGAAGTTAAACACAGAAACCAAGGAGGACAGGGCCAATCAGGCCAAAGGGTGCTAGCCGAGTTGCAGCATGCCAGGGGCCAGCTCCCGCCTTCCCTTGCATTCCTGTCATGCTCGCGTCCTCTCATCCTTGCTGGCTGCTCATCACCCAGAATACACACTCTCTCCTCCTCCATGCATGTCAGCAGACACGTAGCTTGTATCTGAGAAGCCAGGCCTTGGCTGTCACCTTCACCACAGTCTCAAGTGCAAACATGGGAAAACTAGGCCCAGCCAGCTACAGCTGCCTTTGAAGGTAGGAAGTAGCCTAGTGGGGCAATTCACAGACCCAGGTCTCCCAGACCTCCTCCGACCTGGCTTCCAGGCTTCCGGTGGCTCTCCAAACACCTGTGCTCTGGGGCTGGGGAAAGGATCAGCCCCGGCTCAGCAGGGAGTCCTGGTGTCCAGGTTCCAGGGTGGAGCCCTAAGCTAAGGTAGGCTGATTCTTACATCCTCCTGCCACCTGGGAAGGAAGGCAGACATAAGGGCGTGTAAGAGCCAGGTTCCTGTCAGGGGCAGCAGTTGGCTTAAGCCTCAACCCTTAGATTTCATCACACTAAGAAGTGACCAGGGAGGACTGGATAGTTGGCTCAATGCTTAAGAGCATGGTTACTCTTTAGGAGGACCTGGGTTGAGTTCAAGTACACGAGGCTTCACAACTGTCTGTAACTCCAGTGCCAGGGAGTCCAGTATCCTCTTCTAGCCTCCACAGACACCAGGCATGCATGTGGTACACAGATACACACGCAATGAAATTTAAAAAAAAAAAATGACTAGGGGTTTCTGATGGGAAAAGCCACATCCCCCTTACCACAAGGTAGTCAGCCCTCCTAGAGGCTGGGGACATAGGAAAAAGATGCCCCTGGTGTCAGCCACCAATATAAATAAGCATTGGGTAGCAGGGTCCTTGGTTAGCCAAGCTTACAAAAGACCTGGACAGGAAGAGCCATCTGCTCGCTCACCCATAAGGCTAATACCACGTTGCCCCACCGTAATCACCATCTATGATGGCATCTAAGGCCAATTTCCAGGCTACAGGGCTCTTGCTGCCCTCTGCTGTTCAAACTGGGCATTGCCAATGAGTGCTCGCTATTGGGACCCCTTCCCGCCAGCTCTGCACCCCCAGCCCTGCCACCTGCTGCCTCGATTGCTTTCCTCTAACCTTCCTGACACAGGAGAGTTGTCTTTCTCATTCCAAGGGCACCAAAAGGGCTTGGCACACAGCAGCTGCTCCGTGCTCCGCTGATAGCGAAAGCTTAAGGAATACTGAACACCACTGAGGAATCTGACTACTGACCCACGGCTCTGCGGTCTTCCTGGTGCAAGCCCAAGGCCAAAGAAGTCTTAGCCAGTGCCCTGTGCCTGCCAGGGATCCAGCTCTACAAAACTGCCCATCCCAGGGTATTATTACATGGCAGCTCATTGAAAAGATATTGGCCTCAGACAACATCACTCCCCCTTCTCTTTCACCAAGACTGGTCCAGAGAAAAGCCATGAGCTCTGGGCCTATCTCTGTGGGCTCAGAGAAGAGGCCCCAGGATAAGGCCCACTTTCAACCATACCTGTTCAGAGGTGACACGGGCCATCCTGAATGCTTGCTTTAGACTCAGAAAACAATACTCCTTCCTAAGCAGAAAGAGCTAAGGAGCCACAAACCCCACCCCTTTAGCCAGGCATCGTGTCCCAGGGGACTCCTTCAAGGGTTCCTGTCCCCACTCTGTAGCCCAGCACGTCACCACTGCCATCTGTCAGTCAGGAGAGCCACTCAGCAGCAGCTCACTCAGCTAGAGAGAGTCTAGAAGGAAACCAGAGTTGTGTCTGATAAGTGAGATCCATTCTGGCCCTATTCACGTCCCCTTTGGTCACAGAAGCCACCTATCCACTACTCACGGTGACTTGGCTCTGGTGCCCCCATGTGGCAGAATCCAGCTGCTCGGGACCGTCATCCAGCCCCTGGCACTGCACTGGCCCTGAGGGTTCTCTGTCCTCCTGTGCACATTGCCTTATGATGTGCATAAGAGGTGTGCACAGTCCTGCCTTCAAGCCTCCGCAGCTTCTTCCACCATTTTTTTACCACCAGAAATATATATATATATATTTTTTTTTTTGGCTTTTCGAGACAGGGTTTCTCTGTGGTTTTGGAGCCTATCCTGGAACTAGCTCTTGTAGACCAGGCTGGTCTCGAACTCACAGAGATCCGCCTGCCTCTGCCTCCCGAGTGCTGGGATTAAAGGCGTGCGCCACCACCGCCCGGCTCAGAAATATTTTTTTAATTGTGGCTTTTGACTAAGTGGGGTGGCGCATGCCTTAGGAGGCAGAGGCGGGTGGATCTGTGGAGTTTGAGGGCAGCCTGGTCTATAGAGTGAGTCCCAGGACAGCCAGGACTACACAAAGAAACTGTCTCAAAGAATAAAAATAAAATCAGGGTTTCATGTAGCTCTGGCTGGCCGAAATTCACTGTGTAGTCAAGGAGGACGTTAAACTTCTGCTCCTGCTACATAATGACACCTTGCCTCAAAGAAAAAGAGGAGAAGAAGAAAGGCTATTGCCGGAGGTGGGTTGGATAAAAGGAAGTATGGGGTTATGTCATCAAAGGACACAGGAAGTAGAATGGTAGCAGATAGGAGAAATAAATTTAAAAAGTCTATTATAAAACATGGTAACTGTAGCTAATGTTGAACATATATGAATGGAGATATATATATATATATGGATATAGATATATAAATACAGATATATTTGAGATAGGGTTGTGTGGTGAAGCACAGGTGTCTGTGTCCGAGGTTACAGGTCTGCACCATCCAGCTGGTTTTATATTATACTCTAGGAAACACAGTGATAGCAGACAATTGTGCTCCTTGCACGAAACAAAAACTATCTGGCTGGGCATGGTGGTGCACGCCTTTAATCCCCGCACTTGGGAGGCAGAGGCAGGTGGGTCTCTGTAAGTTTGAGCCCAGCCTGGTCTACAAGAGTTAGTGCCAGGATAGGCTCCAAAGCTACAGAGAAACCCTGTCCCAAAAATCTGCTCAAATACTTTCACTTGCTGCCTCCCCCCCCACACACACACAATAGAAGTGGATTGCCTCAGACCAGACTCTGGGGAAGCCCACCCTCAAGAGTCACAGTGAGCCACCCATGACTGCCCAGTTGCTCAGTTTCCAGCCTTGGAAGAAGGAGGAAGGTAGATGTTTGGCCTACTGCTCTGACCTGAAGACCAATCCTGCGTCCTGAAGATAAAGCCTGTTACCTTTGGGGATGTCATACTCCAGGGAGTCCATGAAATCCAGAGAGGGGTCCAAGTCTGCCTTCTCGAGCAAGGTCTTGTTCTTCAGGTCAACAGCCTCCCTGAAGTGGAAGTAGGCACTGAGCTTCTTGATCTCAGACAAGGGCAGGCCTGGAGGAGGGGGGCAGGAGAGCAGTTAACCCAAAGCCCAGGGATCCTTGGTCCTGGCATTGCCACCGTGGAGATGACTGCACAGGATCCCTCTGTCCACCAAAGAATCCAAGACTGAAAAGGAACTCATTCCCTCTGCCCATGCTTGACCCTGACCTCCATCCACACCCCCACCCCAGAAAAAGGAGCAAGGAGGGACAGGGACAGTGGCAAGAAGCAGGCAACTCTGACCCGGGGAATCCTAGGTCACCATACACACTCCTGCCCTCAGGGTCCCGTGACTGATTACCCATTTCAGCTGCAACTGCTTGGTTTTAACTGTCAAGTTGACACAACTTAGAATCACCTAGAAAAAGAGTTTGGTTTTTTTTTTTTTGAGACAAGGTTTCTCTGTAGCTATGGAGCCTCTCCTTGAACTAGCTCTTGTAGACCAGGCTGGCCTCGAACTCACAGAGATCCACCTGCCTCTGCCTCCCGAGTGCTGGAATTAAAGGTGTGTGCCACCAACACCCAGCGAGTTTGGTTCTTTTAATTAATATATATATTTGAGACAGAGTCTCATTATATAGCTCTGGCTGGTCTTGAACTCACAAAGAGTTCCTCTTATTTTCTGTTTTTGTGTACTCTAAGCCAAAGTATGTAGTCACTAAGAAAGAATACATGTTTTATTCTCTATTCCTAGAAAAAAATGTAGAAATTGTCTGTGTCTCTGCCTTCAGAGTACTAGGATTAAAAGCATGAGCCACCGTGCCCAACCTGGAAGTCTTAATGAAGAATCAGCTAGAGCAGTGGTTCTCAACCTGTGGGTCTCGACCCCTCTGTAGACCAAATGATTCTTTCACAGGGTTGCAAATCAGATGTTTACATTACAATTCATAACAGTAGCAAAATCACAGTTATGCAGTAGCAACAGAAATAATTTTATGGTGTGGGGGTCACCACAACATGAGGAACTATATTAAAGAGTCACAGTTTTGGGAAGATTGAGAATCACTGATCTAGAGCAAGTTGGCCAGTGGGCATGTCTGTGGGGGATTATATTCATTGTTAATTGAGGTAGAAAGACTCAGCCCATTGTGGGCAGTACCATTCCCTAGGCAGGGAGACCTGAACTATCTGCGAATACAGAAAGCTGGCTGAGTACAAGCAAGCAAGCAGGTGTGCCTGAGTGAGCTCATTTCTCTCTGCTCTCAACTGTGAAGTGACCAGCTGTCTCAAGCTCCTGCTCAGATGGACTGTACTCTCTCCTCCATTTTGCTACTTTCTGTCAGGACACTGTTCACAGCAGCTGAATGAAATCAGGACGCTAACAGCGGCAGCAGGCCAGGAAGCACATAGCCACGCTTCTCCAGATACCCTGGTTTCCCAGACATGTCCACCAGAACCTCAGTACCTCCTGCTCTGAGAGGATCTGCAGGAACTCACCTTCAAAAGTCCGGTTGACGTGGGTGACCCCGAAAGGAGTCTTGAAGAGGGCCCCTCGGGGAATGATGGCCACAGCTTTGTCAATCTGGTCAATGATTGACACCAGGCGGGTCTCTTCCTTGATTTGGACCTGAGGCGACAGGAGAGGAACATCCTGCCAGGACACTGTGCCTGCTCACCTCAGGTGAAGGACAGAGATCGGCATGGCTAATTCTTCTCCTCACCAGCAGGGCCTGAGACCTGAGTTGTGCTGAGTAAGCATTTGTCTTCCCCTCTCCACACCCCCCACCACCACAACTCCCGCGCATGCATGTGTGCGCACGTGTGTACAGGTGGCTCAGTGAGGCGCCGGCAAGCCTGATTATCTGATTGGGAGCACATGTAAAAAGCTGGACACTGGGTACAGTGGCACACATCTGTAATCCCAACACTCCTGTGGAGAGACAGAAGGGAAAGACAGAACTGCCCAGAAGCTCAAGGGACAGCTGGTCTACCATAAACAACTCCGCAACAGTAGAGACCTTGTCTAAAAAATAGTGGAAGGGGCTGGAGAGATGGTTCAGAGGTTAAGAGCACTGGGTGCTCTTCTGAAAGATCTGAGTTCAGTTCCCAGCACCCACAATGCAGCTCACAACCATCTGTGACTCCAGTCACAAGGTACACAGACCCTAAAGTAAAGCAAAGCATTCATACACATCAAATAAATACATTTTCTTTTTTTAAAGTGCAGAGGAAGAGCTGACTCCCCTAAGTTGTCCTGACCTCCATACTTACACCATGGCTCGTACTTGCCCGAATACACGCACACACAGAGACACAAACACAGACAAACACACAGAGAGACAGACACACTAATAACAAATATATAAAAATCATATATATGGAAAAATCATGTACATTATTCGGATAATATAGAAAAGCGTATTAAAGGGGATTCAAGCCACTCATTATTCTACCTCCCACCCACTAGCATACTGATATGCTTCCTTCTGTTTTTATGAATTTTTATGAAAAAGTAAATTATGAATATATTTAAAGTAAAATTGGGATCACAGTTTACGTAGTGTCCTTCTCTACACTCAACATCACCAAGTATTTCCCCATAAGGTCACCACACCTTATACAGATGATATTCCTTTGTGGTTCACATCAGGGCAGCAGTAAGAAAAGGGAGCAAGCCGTGCTCAATACAGCAGCCTATGGACAGAGGCATCTGAACCCACAAAGCCACCTGTTGCCTGGCTGACCGAGAAAAGCAGAAACCAACAGGCAGCATGTCCCCAGCCCTGGGGCTGTGAATGCCACCTTGGAGACTCCAACAAGCCTGCAGGAGCAATGTAGTCAACCCGGCTATACAGGCTCAGAAGAGTGCGTTTATCAGGTGGGAGATGTGGCTGTCGCTAACACAGACAAATGGCGTCACCCAAGTTCAAATGCAAGGCTGGGTTTTGAATCCAGGTTTTGTTTAGCTGAACATGAGCTCCCTACTTGTTGGCCCAGTGGCATTTCTAGGAACTGGCCCTTTAGATAAAGTGCACACTTTGGAAATGACTGGAAATGACGTCAGTCCAAGGCCACTTGGCACGGCGTGCTTGTCAGAGCTGAAACCTGGAAGCTACTTTCCACTAATCAGACTCTGTTTGAACACAGGTACATTCACACACTGGCACAAAAAGCAGGGCGGCTGGTTGGGTGCTGATATAGGTAGGTCTCTAGGAGACACGGAGAAGAGCAATACCCAGCCTGTGGACATACCTCACAGCCGTTCTGTTTGAAAATGGATTGTTTTATTACTTTGCACATGTGGGTGTTTGCCTGCATGCATGTCTGTGCACCATGTGTGTCTCCGGTACCCGCAGAAGTCAGAAGAGGCTGTCGTGTCAGGTCTCCTGGAATTCGAGCTATAGTGGCTCTGAGTCACCATATGGGTACTTAGAAAAGAGCCACGTCATCTGCAAGAGCAACAGCTGCTTTTAACAACTGAGCCAACTCTCCAGTCCCACATCTTTTAATTTTGTTTATTAAGGAAAACGCATAGAGGCCAGGGGTTTCCTCGCCACTGGTGTCTGGAAATAGCACCTCACTCTTCATAAAGGAGCCAGACCCCCGAGGATCATGGGAAGATGCAGGTTTGGGATGCTGGGCCGTGGATTGTACCCTTTGAGCTCCTGGAGGGCAGTGAGGCTATTGATGCCATTAGAAGGATCTGGAGTAGACAGGGACACACACACGCTAAATAGTTACATAATGTCCCCTAGAAAGATGGTTTCCCAGTCCAGCAGGCAGGGAACAAAGGAAACTTTATTACATTCCTTTTAGTGCCTATGACTCAGGAAGCATGTGGTGTATTATCTAGTAAAATTAAGGTTAGTCCCAAAGGGCTGGTCAGATGGCTCTGCGGGTAATGCACTGATCGAAGCCCAATGATCGAAGTTCAGACTTAGAACTTACATGGAGAAGGATAGCCCAACCCCACATACGAAATAAACAAATGAACTTCAACAGCAGAGTGGTCTCCCAGAATAAATAAGACCCATTTTCGATCCCCAGCATTGTAAAACAATAATAATAAGCCAAGCAATGGTGACACTCACCTTTAAGCCCAGCACTCGGGAGGCAGAGGCAGGTATGGTCTATTGAGCGAGTTCTAGGACAGCCAAGGGTACGCAGAGAAACCATGTCTCAAAAAGACAGAATAATAACAACAGCAACAGATCTCTGTGAGTTCGAGGCCAGCCTGGTCTACAAGAGCTAGTGCCAGGACAGGCTCCAAAGCTACAGAGAAACCCTGTCTCGAAAAACTAAAATTAAATAAATAAATAAATGACAACAGCAACACTATCTGCACACATACACAGTCCTGGCCCTCAAGATACCGCACGGGCCACTCTCCCCGGCCCCGTGTGGAGCCAGCTTTACCACAGCTGCCTACCCTCTCTCTTCGCCCTGCCCCTCAAGTCTCAGCCACTAGTCCAGCGTCCTCCTCACCATCAGGATGCATCAGGGTGCAGCAGAACCCCGGCTTCCCCAGGGACTCAGTGCACATCTGGGCAGGAGTGACGATGGTGACGAGACAGCTCTTGTTTCTACCGGGCTGGAATCCTGTTAGCTTTTTTATATGTTTGAGGGTTTTGCCTGCATGCATGTCCAGGTACCACTTATGAACCTTGTGCCCACAGAGGTCAGAAGAAGGCATTGCACCCCTTGGAACTGGAGATCCAGTTGTGAGCTTCCGTATGGATGCTGGGACCGGAACCCAGATCCCCTGGAAGAGCAGCCAGCGCTGTAGCCACTGAGCATCTCCCAGGCCCTGGAACCCTGCTCTTGGTCGATTCAGTTGGGTTTGGCGTGTGAGGCTGGGAGTGCTAGGGCTTTGCCCGTGGTGCTCACACCTTCTCCCATCATGTTGACCCTCAACCCTAATGGGCATCTGCTCAAACCCCTCCCGCACCCTCGCACCCCTGCACTTACCACCACTTCTTCATCAAAGACCTTCTCCGCCTCGGTCACCTTCTGGAGCTCGGTGTGCTCATACTCGTGTGAGGGATCACCCATGAAGCGGCCACTCACCACCGCCGTCTGCGTCGCCATCTCCTCTGTGGCAGGGGGCAAGAGGCTCCACTCTGTGCAGTTCAGGCTGCCAAGGACATCCTCATCACCCTGGGCTCCACTTCTCCTTGCTCCCCCCACTTTCCCTTCTCACAGGGTCAGACAGCCAAAAGCTTTGGGAACACCTCCAACCTGGACCTTTCAGTGTTTGTGGTACAGTCCACCCTTACACTTGATGCACTTGTTTGTTTGTTTGTTTGTTTGTTTTTGATTTTCGAGACAGGGTTTCTCTGACGTTTTTGGAGCCTGTCCTGGCACTAGCTCTTGTAGACCAGGCTGGCCTCAAACTCACAGAGATCTTCCTGCCTCTGCCTCCCAAGTGTTGGGATTAAAGGCATGCGCCACTACCACCTAGCTTGTACATTTATATTTATGTATTTTTTCACTTGTTTTAAAATATTTTATTTTGGGGGCTGAAGATATGGCAGCTCTTCCAGAGGACCCAAGTTGGTCCCCAGCACCTAAATGGTGGCTTGAAATTGTAACTCCAGTTCCAGGAGATCCTAGTGCCCTCTTCAGCCCTCACAACCTATAGCAGGGTGTGTGTGTCACCTCACCTAGCCAATGCTTATATACAACATTTATGTATCTTGTTGATACATAAATGTGCTGGTTTGAGGGCCAGTGTTTTGTCTAATAAATTGAGAGTTGCTCATACAGAGTAATATAGGGAAGGACCAAGTTCCAAGTTTGCACCCAGCTTCAGAGTTAGATCACCTTCTTAGCAGCAAAACCTATGGTCACTAGCAGAAAGGCTTGACCCTCCACTAGCATAATCTTGATTTGCTTATTTTTCAAATAGAACCATAAAGAGTTTAAATTATTTCTTTTTTTAAATATTTATTTATTATGTATACAATATTCTGTCTGTGTGTATGCCTGCAGGCCAGAAGAGGGCACCAGACCTCATTACAGATGGTTGTGAGCCACCATGTGGTTGCTGGGAATTGAACTCAGGACCTTTGGAAGAACAGGCAATGCTCTTAACCTCTGAGCCATTTCTCCAGCCCCCAAATTATTTCTTACTTAATAATTTTTTCTCCTCTTTTTATATTTTTTTGTTTAGTTTTTAGCCTGTATGTCTATGTATCGCATGCATGCCAGGTACCCACAGAGGCCAGAAGGCTGCACTGGATCCCCTCAGATTGGAGTAACTAAGTCCTCTGGAAGAGCAGTCAGTGCTCTTAATTGTTGATCCATCTCTCCAGTTCCTAACTTTAAGCTTTTCAAAGTCACAGAAGCTCCATGGCTAGGTACAGATGCACATTCCTGTTATCCCAGCACTTAGAGGCAGTGGAGGCAAAATAAAATTCAAGGTCATAAGTCTGAGGCCACTCTGACCTACGTACACGACCCTATCGAATGATTTACAATGAGCCATGGTCAGTGTTCTAGTCAGGGTCACTATTGCTGTGATAAACTCCATGGGGAAAGCAGCCTGGAAGGAAAAGGGTTGTCTTGCATTTCCATATCACTCTGTGTTCACTGTTTATCCTTGAAGGAAGTCAGGAAGGATCTCAAACAGGGCAGGAGCCTGGATGCAGGAGTTGATGCAGAGGCCATGGAGGCCATGGAGACCTTGGAGGCTGTGGAGGGCGCTGCTCATCACGGCTTGTTCTGCTCAGCTTGCTTTATTTTATGGGATTGCTCTATCTACATGTACACCTTTATGCCAGAAGAGGACATCAGATGCTACTAGAGATGGTTATGAGCCACCATGTGGTTGCTGGGAATTGAACCCAGGAAAACTGGAAGAATAGAAAGTGTTCTTAATGGCTGAGCCATCTCTTCAGAACGCAGGGCCACCAACCAAGGGATGGTAGCCACCCACAAGGATCTGCCCCCACCCATCAATCACTAATTAAGAAAATGCCCTACAGGCTTGCCTAGAGGCATTTTTTTTTCTTTTTTTGGTTTTTCAAGACAGAGTTTCTCTGTAGCTTTGAAGCCATTCTAGAACTAGCTCTCGTAGACCAAGCTTGCCTCGAACTCGCGGAGATCCACCTACCTCTGCTGGGATTAAAGGCGTGGGCCAAACCATCCAGCTAGAGGCACTTTCTTAATTGAGGTTTCCTCTTCTCAGATGACTCCAGTTTGTGTTAAATTGACATAAAACTATGCCAGCACTCAGGAGGCAGAGGCAGGCAGATCTCTGTGTGTCTGAGGCCAGCCTGGTCTACAAATCAAGTTCCAGGACAGCCAGAACTGTTACATAGAGAAACCCTGTCTGGAAACAAACAAACGACCACCACTAACAATAACAAGAAAGAAAAAAAACCAACTACCCAGCACAGTAAGTTTAAAATGTTCATAAATCTAAAATACATTAAATGCCCCTAAACTGGCCAACACCACAGTTTAGAGACACAGCCTGGAACTCCTGCTTACAACCACTGCTCAGGATTGGATGAGGAATTAAATCACACGTCACTAGCCAGGGACACGTTCAGAGCAAAACACGCTTTCTACTGAACCCTGCGGTGAAGTCATCACACAGCAAGTGGAACCTGTCCCAGTCCCTGCTGTGTGCCGACATTGAAGACATCTGGACTGTGAAATTCCAGATGAGTCTCTTGAGGTTGAATTTTGTACAATTATGAGTTTGTTTCCACTCCCTAACAACAAAACAAACAAACAAAAAAGTGTTTTGTTGTTGTTGTTGTTTGCTTGGCTTGTTCCATTGTTTCTACAACATACTTGTAATCCCAAGCATTTGGGAAGCAGAAAAAAGGAGAATCTAAAGTTCAAGGTCATCGTTGTGTTTGGTTGGAAGCTTCACCCCAGCCGCTGAAGTCCCAAGAGTCTGAAATGTTTGGGTGGAACTTTCCACCCCAAGCCCTCTCCCCTGGGAGTTGCCACAGTCCAGACTCCACCTCTGAGAAAGCCTGCCAAATGGTGACCCCTCCCCAGAGAAGCTCAAGACCACTCCCACAGTGTTTTTAAACTGCCCCACAGAGAATGAACGTGTGGTCTTCTTGGTCTTCTTTTTCTCTCTCTGTGTTTTTTGCGGTCTTTCTTTCTAATTTGGCTTAATTTGGTCTGATTTGGATTATTGCATTGGCTGAGAGGTGTGTTGGGCCATAAACCTTGGACTATGTTGTGTGAGTTTAAGGCCCTAGAACACATAAGACACACACATGTGTCTGTGTGTGTATGGCCCGGGTGGGGTGGGGTGGGATGTTTTCTTCCTCACTGCACTGTGATTTCTGCTCCCGGTCAGGCTGCGGTGGCGCACACCTTTAATCCCAGCGTCCTGGAGGCAGAGGCAGGCAGACCTCTGAGTTCATGGTCAGCCTGCGTGACCGCAAGCTCCAGGACAGGTGGAGCTATACATCATTTCCTGTCTCCTTCTGTACCTGGCACCACCCGGCCTGTTATAGATGTGGGTGTTTCGTCTGACCATTATGTGGTTCCAAATACATATACACATGGTAACAGAAGGCCCACCGAGAGTTTGTGTTACCTTTTCCAGGCAGACTGAATTCCTGGTGCCTGAATCAGTACACAGCACATAGCAGGAGTAGCTCAACCAAATGAGTCCCAGTCTCAGCATCTCTAGCCCAACCGTGGGTCCCGGTCTGCACGTCTATGCCTGCCTTACCATGCGTTGCTCCCGGGCACCTCATACCAATCACTGCTCTCCCATTGCCTTTTGTTAGCTTTGTTTTGTTTGCTTGTGGGTGGTTTTGTTATTTGAGGTAGAGTCTCCCACTGTAGCCCAGGCTGGCCTTGAACTTCTTCTGCCTCAGTTTCCTGAGTGCTAGGGTTACAGGCCTAATCCTGACGTCTGAAGTCTCAATAATAACAGGGCCGACACTTAGCTGCATCAATTGAATGGACCAACAGCGAACTCTACATCTTCCTCCAACCTGTCACAGTCTCCTTCTTTAATGGTTTCAACCAACCCTCACCTCTGGGCACTGCAAAGACCCCTAATACTCACCTCCCCACCACTCCCAGACCACTGCCCACTTAGATCTGAGCAGGCTCTTCTTGCTTTTGGTGTCCCCTGGTGACCTATGGACAGGGTTCCAGCCCTTGACTTGTCCAACCATGCTGCCTCTGCCAAGGTCACGTCCTGTCTCTCCCCAGTCCCTCAAAGCCTCCTCTCATGCAGGAGGGTTTAGAGGAATAAACTGTTGGCCGCTGTGGGCGTGCTTGTCTTTCAGAAGCCAGGGCAGGTGCTCCCTGATCAAGTTTACTTAGCTGTTCTCTGGGAGCCCAGGACTCTTGGTTATCTCTTTAACTACACTTAATTCTAGCTTTTTTTTTTTGAGACAGGGTCTTTAAATTTTTTTAAATTATTTTGTGTGTACGAGTGATTTGCCTACATATCTGTATATGCACCTCATGTGTGCAGTATCCTCAGAGGCCAGAAGACGGTGTTGGGACCCCTGGGACTGGAGTTATAGATGGTTCTAAACTACCATGTGGGGGCTGGGGATTGACCCCCAAGGGTCCAGAAGAGTAATCAGTGCTCTAAAGTACTGAGCCATCTCTATCCCCAACACAGGGTCTGATGTAGCCCAGACTGCCTTCAAACTCCCTATCTATATATCAGAGGCTCACCTTGAACCTCTCAATCTCCTTCAGTGCTGGTTTGAGGAATGGGTAAGTAAATGAAGTCCCCAGATACCTGCAGCTCGAGTGTTGTATAAAGTGGTAGGATCTCTCTCCATTGTCCTGGGGAATTCAGAAAAAGACTGGAATGGTTCTCTATGGTAGCCGTACATTGTAAAATTTCCCCCAGATCTTTCCCCATTGCACAAGTCTTCTGCCTCCAAGAGCACCCCACTTCCCGCTGCAGAGTCCACATCCCCGTGGGAGGCTTCCAAATAGCTCTAGCACAACTCCCAGAGTGTCTGACTTCTCCAAGTCCACAGCTGTAACCTGAATTCTTTTTTTTCATTCTTTATAGATATTTATTGAGCTCTACTTTTTTCTCTGCTCCCTTCTTTGCCTTTCCCCTCTTCCTTAAACCCTCCCCCAAAAGTCCCCATGCTCCCAATTTACTCAGGAGATCTTGTCTTTTTATACTTTCTACTTCCCATGTAGATTAGATCTATGTAAATCTCTTAGTGTCCTCATTGTTGTCTAGGTTCTCTGGGATTGTGGTTTGTAGGCTGGCTTTCTTTGCTTTATGTTAAAAAAAAATGAGTGAGTACATGTGATAATTGTCTTTCTGTGTCTGGGTTACCTCACTCAAAATGATCTTTTCTAGCTCCATTTTCCTGCAAAATTCAAGCTGTCGTTATTTTTTTTTCTGCTGTGTAGTACTCCGTTGTGTAAATGTACCACATTCTCCTCATCCATTCTTCAGTCAAGGGGCTTTTAGGTTGTTTCCAGGTTCTGGCTATGACAAACAGAGCTGCTATGAACATAGCTTGAGCACATGTCCTTGTGGCACGATTGACCATCCTTTGGATATATACCCCAAACTGGTATTACTGGGTCTTGAGGAAGGTTGTTCCTAACTTCTGAGAAATCGTCACACTGACATCCAAAGGGGTTGCTCCATCTTGCATTCCCACCAGCAATGCAGAAGTGTTCCCTTTCCCCCACAATCTCTCCAGCATAAGTTGTCATCAGTGTTTTTTTTTTTTTTCTTCGAGACAGGGTTTCTCTGTGGCTTTGGAGCCTGTCCTGGAACTAGCTCTGTAGACCAGGCTGGTCTCGAACTCACAGAGATCCGCCTGCCTCTGCCTCCCGAGTGCTGGGATTAAAGGCGTGCGCCACCACCGCCCGGCTGTCATCAGTGTTTTTGATCTTGGCCATTCTTACAGGTGTAAGATGGAATCTCAGAGTTGTTTTGATTTGCATTTCTCTGATGACTAAGGATGTTGAACATTTCCTTAAGTGTCTTTTAGCCATTTTAGATTCCTTTGTTTAGAGTTCTCTGTTTAGGTCTGTACTCCATTTTTTTTATTGGATTATGTGTTCTTTTGGTGTCCAATTTCTTGAGTTCTTTGTATATTTTGGAGATCAGACCCTGTCTGATATGGAGTTAGTGAAGATCTTTTCCCATTCTGTAGGCTGTCATTTTGTCTTGTTGACCGTGTCCTTTGCTTTACAGAAGTTTTTCAGTGTCAGGAGGTCCCATTTATTAATTGTTCCTCTCAGTGTCTGTGCCACTGGGGTTATATTTAGGAAGTCGTTCCCTGTGCCAGTGTGTTCAAGTGTATTTCCCACTTTCTCTTCTATAAGGTTCAGTGTGGCTGGCTTTATGTTGAGGTTTTTGATCCATTTGGACTTGAGTTTTGTGCATGGTGATAGATATGGATCTATTTTCATACTTCTACATGTTGATATCCAGTTATGCCAGCACCACTTGTTAAATATGCTTTTTTTTCCATTTGATATTTTTTTGCTTCCTTGTCAAAGATCAGGTGTTCGAAGATGTGTGGATTGATATCTGGGTCTTCTATTTGGTTCCATTGGTCCTCCTGTCTGTTCTTATGCCAATACCAGGCTGTTTTCAGTACTGTAGCTCTGTAGTAGAGTTTGAAGTCAGGGATTGTGATGCCTCCAGAAGTTCTTTTATTGTACAGGATTGTTTTGGCTATCCTGGGTTTTTTGCTTTTTCATATGAGGTTGAGTACCGTTCTTTCGAGGTCTTTGAAGAATTTTGCTGGGATTTTGATGGGCATTGCGTTGAATCTGTTGTAACCTGAATTCTACACCAGGTTGCCTTCTCCAGGAACTCTCTCTTTGCCCCTGCTCTGTTTAGCCCTCTCTCTACTATGAATCCCCCTGCACCAGGTTCTCTTGTTCCTCCAGGCTGACAACCCCTGAACACCGCCCGCCCCCAGCCACTTTCCAACCCCAGGAGGATTCACAAAATTCTCACGGTCATGACATCTCAGTTCCCAAGCTCTTCAGAACTGTCCATTTCCCTCCTCTGGCCCCGCCCACAGGCTGCTTCTTAGTGATTCTAGGGCAAGTCCTGCCCACCCATCTCCCCCAGCCGCAGCAGCACCCACCACCCTACGGTATTCTGCAGCCTCGTCTGCCACAGGGTCGCCTCACCTGTAGAGAGTCTTGCGAGGTGCGAGCTGGTCCTCACTCAGTCCCTGTGCGATATAGTAATCCGCAACAAGGCCGAGGATTCGGCCCCAGAAAAGGACCCGAGCAAAGCGGTAATCGCGCTTAACCAGCATAAGGGACGTTAGCAGGGAGGCTCGACGGTCCGGGCTGAGCCCCTGCCCACTGCCAGACGCCAACTCCAGCGACAACAAGAGACTGTCTGCATCCATCAGGCCGGCGGTTCTCCTCCAAGCTAGTCGGACCGCTAAACCCTGTCTCCATGGAGACCCTGAGCCCCGCCCCTCAGCCTAGCAGGAAACAAAATCCCACCCACAGGACCGCCCATCTCTCCAAACCCGCCCTTTCCTGGAGCCCGGGAACACACCAGCCCCACCCTCCTCCATTACCCGTCCAGACACTAGTCTTTTGTTGTTCTGGCTCGGCTTTCAGGTACGAAGTGCCAGACCAGCTCCACACTCACGCTCCATATTATTAAGGCCTATGCTCCACCTATTCCCAATGGGGACTTGGGAAGAAAACCAATACAAAGTCCCAACAAGGACATTCGCTGGGCGCTGGTGGCACACGCTTCTAATCCCAGCAGGCGGGTGTCTGAGTCAGAGCTAGTTCCAGGATAGTCTGCGCTGTTAAACAGAGAAATCTTGTCTCAAAAAAAAAAAAAAAAAAAAAAAAAAAAAAACAACAAAAAACTCAATAAAGCCCCAACAAAGCCATTAGTTGTGTTATTTCAGCCTGGGCACATCACTTCTTGACCTCAGAATTTTATTTTTTTCTGGGGAGAGCGCTAACGCAGTTTCCCACATTTGGGGAAAACCGCAGGGGTCAGCACATTGGAGCGCAACGGATAAGCCTCGCCCTGGGAAAACCACCTTCAAGATCATGGTATCTCCCCTGCCAGGTAAGAATGACCTCAGAATTTTATGACGAATCTGACAGCTCCTGCTTCTAAAAGCACGAGTTTCTGACACCCTCTAAGCGCCCCCGAAGCCAGGTTTCACCAAGTATCCATTTCTTTCCTCTCCAGTTTTCTCCTGAGAGCTCTTTCAGTCCCTGGACCAGTGTGGCAAATAGACAAAGAAGTAAGACCCAGGACCACTCCTCTGAAAAGGATGATGTGGAAAGGGTGACATTTTCCAGAGGTGGTGGCCCACACCTTTAAAACCAGCACTCAGGAGGCAGCGACAGGCAGATAAAGTTACCTAACAAGGGCCGAGCCAGTCAAGGCTCTTATGAGATGCTGTCTGAAATAAAGAAACCAACACACGTGTGTAGCAGCTACAACCGGCATGTACTTAACCTTGGGCCCCACAACTGTTTAGACTCAACAGATGGATGAAGACCTGGTATTCCCCAGGCTAACCTAACTGGGGCTTTTCCACAACCACTTCAGGAGTCCCCGGACAAATGCAGTCTCAACAGGTTGCTCTGAAGACTTGTTTCAGGGAAATTAGGCTTGCGTTGTAGTGACTGAGCTTCTATTTCTGGATTCCTTTGGGGAAGACTCATGAAGTCAAAATGCCCTGGGCCTCCACGCCAAGCCCATAGAAAAATGTGTCTAAATCACTCAATAATTACTTTGTTTTGATTGCCTGAGCATTGTTCGTCGTGGTTGTTTAAATGAGCATCTGAGAACAGCTGACCTGGCTGATAATTCTTCCACCTCAAAACAATATATGGCTCCATTCCCAACTTCACCTCCCTGCTTTGGCAACATAGCCCAATTCTTCTGTAGAGAAAAACCCCAACAGTCTGGCTGCTGGGATACACGTCTGCTGATTTCAACACAGAACACAGTTCTCAAACACCTTGTTTTCACGGGTTCTGGATTTATCTATGGCTGGTGAGTTCCACCTCAGCAACCAGAATTGGAAGGAAAGGGGGGTCTCAAAGCTTTGTTATGTGCCCATCTGGAGCAAGAACAAATCCTGGCTATTTGAGAGAAAAATGATACTAAGATACGGAGAGCAGCTGCCGGCAGGTGAACAGGTTTGAACTCAGGCTTCACTGTGTAGGCAAACTCATCTCCCCAAACCTCATTTATAATGGAGCAGCTGTGAGACCAGAGCAAAAACGGTATACCTTGGGAGTTGATGTGAGACCAAAACAAGTAAAACAGACTTTGTAGGTTAAGGGTTCTGTTTGCAGTTAAGACAGTAAGTTCCTATTTTTCCTGTGTTAAACATTTGCAAGTTAAATTCCTATTTGTAATTAAGAATAAATTTGTTTATTTATTATGTATACAATATTCTGTTTGCATGTATGCCTACAGGCCAGAAGATGGCACCAGGTCTCATTAAGGTGGTTGTGAGCCACCATGTGGTTGCTGGGAATTAAACTCAGGACCTTTGGAAGACGAGGCAATGCGGGCGGTGGTGGCGCACGCCTTTAATCCCAGCACTCAGGAGGCAGAGGCAGGCGGATCTCTGTGAGTTGGAGACCAGCCTGGTCTACAAGAGCTAGTTCCAGGACAGGCTCCAAAACCACAGAGAAACCCTGTCTCGAAAACCCAAAAAAAAATAAAAATAAAAAGAATAAATTTTTATTAGATCTGATGTAAACTGCAAACCATGTTTGATTTATACTAAACTTGTGACACCATCCACATAATGTATATCCTTACCCTCCTTCCCTTTCATCGTATCTTTCTGTTACGCCCAAATCTGCGGGTCCCCACAAAAGCCAAAAAAGGAGATCAAGTCCCATATGTAAAAGCAAAGAGCCTTTATTTTAATCAAGTTTGCAAACTCAGTCTCTCAGCATGTCCAACGTATTGGAATATCTGGAGAGCCCCGAGCTCAATTAGAATTGTTTTTATAGTAGTAAGGGTGGGGGTGAGGGGTCTCTGAGGTTCAGGACCCCTAATTGGCTGACATTTGTCTAGGGGTGTCCTGATGAAGTGCTGGCAGGTGTTTCTATCTACAGTGCTTGGAATGCCAGGCATTTCCTTTGAATGGTCTGCTCTTGGGTGGGGGTCAGGTAACCTTGGCCTGCCAGGCATTGTCTCAGGGTAAACTATTGAGATTCCAGGCTCCATTTAAATTTATTGATGGCCAGAGTCCCAGGTGATAATGGTTGGAAGTAAAGAACTTCCTTTGTTTTTTTTTTAAATATTTATTATGTATACAATATTCTGTCAGTGTGTATGCCTGCAGGCCAGAAGAGGGAACCAGACCTCATTACAGATGGTTGTGAGCCACCATGTGGCTGCTAGGAACCGAACTCAGGACCTCTGAAAGAGCAGAGCAGGCAATGCTCTCAACCTCTGAGCCATCTCTCCAGCCCCATTCTTTTATTTATTTATTTATTTATTTATTTATTTTTTAAATATTAAGAACTTCCTTTGGATGACCTGCCCAGACTTAGCTTTCATGACTGGCCACCACACTAACAATGTGTAAGAACTGACTCTCTAGCCCCTGTAAACACTGTATCTCTCCTATAAAGGGGACTTCAATAGGCCAGCAGGAACCGCTCTCTGAAATCCTGACTTAGAGCAGCCTCGGACTGGCCATACCTAAAATCCCAGCATACCCTAAAATACAGCTTGCTTTAACCAGACAATTGTGGACTTGGTTTTTCTCACAATCTTCAGGTTTAACATACTAACATATACATATAAGTTAGCATTAACTAAGGTGTATAAGTACCCTTTTCCCTTTTTGGTTTCTTGAGACAGGGTCCATTTATGTAGCCCTGGTTATCCTGGAACTCACTTTGTGGACCAGGCTGGCCTTGAACTCACAGAGATCTGCCTGTCTCTGTTTCCAAGTGTTGGGATTAGAGGCATGCACTACCCTCCTCAGCCTTGTGTGTAAGTGCTTAACATAGTACATAGGCACGAGGAGGAGGGGGCAGATGCACAGAGGTCAGCTTGGTGTCACACACAATGGATTGTGAAAATGGTCTCCATTGTGGGGCATACTGAAGTATGTAGAATTGAAGTGCCATGTTAGAAAGGACATGAAGGTAAGAAAGGTCATGCAGAGCAGTGGGGGAAGCAGAAGCGAGAGTTTGATATGAATATGATCCAAAGGGGCGGGGTTTGCCACAGGCTCCCCAAGACTGGACTTTCAGCTTCCAAAACACAGGATAAGAAACACAGTAAAAAAGCCGGGCGGTGGTGGCACACGCCTTTAATCCCAGCACTCGGGAGGCAGAGGCAGGTGGATCTCTGTGAGTTCGAGACCAGCCTGGTCTACAAGAGCTAGTTCCAGGACAGGCTCCAAAAAGCCACAGAAAAACCCTGTCTCGAAAAAAAACAAAAAAAAAAAAAAAAAAAAAAAAGAAAGAAACACAGTAAAAATGTGGCCTGCTAGTCTATAATCCTAGCATTTAGTAGGCAGAGGCAGGAGGGTTGGGAGCTCAGGTAACATGGAACTGTCTGAAAACATCTTGAAGAATATGCATGTTTCAAGCACTTTACACACCTTCCCCCTCAGCAGGGTGGGCATCCGTCCTCGACTCTACTTGCAGCCAGGAGGGACAGAAGGGCAATGTCAGCAGCCATCAAGCTGTAGAGACAAGGCTGGACAAAAGCTCTGGAAGGAACAGGAACATGGGGAGAAAACCCCTCAAAATCCCGGGACAATCTGGGGAGCCATCTGGCTCTAGGAAGAGCCTCTTGCTTTTCTGTTTTCAGCCTATTCTCTTGGTCCCCTTCCTCTGAATTTGTTTCTCAGATCTGAAGAGCAGAATTAATCCAAATTACCTGAACCACTGAGACTTGAGAACAGCCAGAGAGGCTGCAGGGCCTTCCCCCACTCAGCCCCTGGCGCTGGGCACGCGGTACAGGCTAAGGTCATCATCAGGTGACATCATGAGCCTGCATACAGCAGCACCCTCTGGTGGACTGACCAGCAGCAGAAGCTCCAGGTAACCGTATTTTGAATGGATGCCCAGGATGCCAACACTCAGACGGTCAAGGTTACTCTCTCCTGCACACAGCACATTCGAAGCCAACCTAGGATACACAGGACTTTCTAAAAACAAACAACAAAAACCCTTGAGTCCCAAGGGCAAAAAGTCTAAGTCAAAAGTGTTAGGAAAATTTAATACGACTCTAGTCACTTCATATTTAATGCCTGAGTCACACCTACATAATGACCCTGGTAACCAAGGTTCTGCAGTCAGCATAGAGCAGAGAACGTCCTCCTCCATGCTTTCTAATCTCAGATAGAGGCCTCTGGGAGTCCATCGTTGATGATGAGTACCACAGCGATGGCCACGTACCATCAGTCACCAGGCAGTCTGGGGAGAGGTGGCATACCGCCAGGGCAGAGCCTTCCTCCCTCACCAGGAAGCAGCTTCAATTCCAAACAAGAGATGGGTGCTTGGTAGCACAGGGAGAAGTCAGCCCTTGTCCTCGTTCAGTCACTCGTGGAAACCTTTAAGTGTCACTGGTGCCTGGAACCAAACGTAATCCTCGGAGGCAATGGCTGGGACGGAAGGTCTCCCACAGGACAGCGTCACAGTCAGTTTGTGGCCCCGGCTGGGCACTCGGTAGTTGAGCTTGGGTAGAAACCAATCTTCTCCACAGTCACGGTGCCCCTGCACCATGACAACGGTACCCATGAGCGGAGGAGCCTGCAACTCACTAAAGGCATCGGCCATGAAGATGGCTTGGAAGAGACGACGCAAACAGGCAGCTGTGTTCAGGCTCTGGTCCACGCTGAAGGGGACTAGTCTGGACAAGTCAAGTTCATAGAATTCCTTGGGGCTCAGGGCATTGCCTCCAAGAAGGATCAACACTCTTGGGACTAGTGTTCGGGCAAAGAAGTCCTCTAGGTGGCTGAGGACACTCTCCAGCTCCGCCAGAGCCTGCTGACACTTCCTGCTGCTCACCTCTGCGGTGAGCCGAGGTTTCTTCCTTGCAGTGTCCCTTGCCTATAAAGACAAAGAGTGACAGAAGAAAAAAACACGGTAGAATTAAATGGATGGCCTTGGGTGGAGCCCCATTGAGATGTGTAGATAAACAAGATTTCTGTTACTGCGCTTTGTCGGAAAGCATTAAATTAAGGGAAGTCTATACACTGTACCAACTACAGTTTCCCTATGACTTGAATAGCAAAGATGGTATTCAAAACTGGAGGATATCAAAATGAAAGCAAGGAAATAGTGAGATGGCCCAGCAATTAAAGGGGGCTTGCTGCATAAGATTGGCAATCTGAGTTTGATCCCCAGACCCCAAGTAAAAACAGGAAAGAATGAGTTCACAAAATTACCCTTTGACCTCCACTGTGGCACAAGTATGCAGTCACACACACACACACACACACACACACACACAGCAATAAAATTTTTTTTTAAATATTAAGACTTGGCATAGATGAAGATATCAAGTTTTTGTTATACAGGGAGTATAGAAATGAGGATTACTTGGTTTAATCAAGATAATTCTAGAGTAGGCCTTCCAATTGAACACATACATGGTTATTGAGAATGGAGAGATGGTTCACAGGGTAAAAGCACTTGCTCTACAAGCATGAAGACCTGAGTTCAAATCCTCAAAACTAGGTAAAAAGCAACATCCAGCATTACATGGCAGAAACAAGAAAGTCCTGAGCTTGTTGGCCAGCCAGTCAGCCTAAATGCTGAGCTTCTGATTCAATGAGACCCGGTCTCACGTCAATAAGGAAGAGAGCGATATACGAGAGAGAGAGAGAGAGAGAGAGAGAGAACATTCAGTGAGGGAGGGAGAAAATGGAATGAGTTAGAAAGAACTGCCTATAGAGAAAGAACTAAAGAATAACATTGGTCAAAGGCAAGAAGCTTCGAAGATAAAAAGTAGATGCTGCCTTCCCCACCCAATTGTAAGATGGGCATTAAGAGTTTAGAGAGTTGATTGGCTGCCCATCAAAATCCCAGCAAAATTCTTCACAGGCCTCGAAAGAACGGTACTCAACCTCATATGGAAAAGCAAAAAACCCAGGATAGCCAAAACAATCCTGTACAATAAAAGAACTTCTGGAGGCATCACAATCCCTGACTTCAAACTCTACTACAGAGCTACAGTACTGAAAACAGCCTGGTATTGGCATAAGAACAGACAGGAAGACCAATGGAACCAAATAGAAGACCCAGATATCAATCCACACATCTTCAAAAACCTGATCTTTGACAAGAAAGCAAAAAATATCAAATGGAAAAAAGATAGCATATTTAACAAGTGGTGCTGGCATAACTGGATATCAACATGTAGAAAAATAAAAATAGATCCATATCTATCACATTCACAAAACTCAAGTCCAGATGGATCAAAGACCTCAACATAAAGCCAGCCACACTGAACTTTATAGAAGAGAAAGTAGGAAATACACTTGAACGCATTGGCACAGGAGACCCCTTCCTAAATATAACCCCAGCAGTACAGACACTGAGAGAAACAATTAAAAATGGGACCTCCTGAAACTGAAAAGCTTCTGTAAAGTAAAGGACACGGTCAACAAGACAAAACGACAGCCTACAGAATGGGAAAAGATCTTCACTAATCCCACATCAGACAGAGGTCTGATCTCCAAAATATACAAAGAACTCAAGAAATTGGACACCAAAAGAACACATAATCCAATAAAAAAAGTGGAGTACAGACCTAAACAGAGAACTCAACAGAGGAATCTAAAATGGCTGAAAGACATTTAAGGAAATGCTCAACATCCTTAGTCATCAGAGAAATGCAAATCAAAACAACTCTGAGATTCCATCTTACACCTGTAAGGATGGCCAAGATCAAAAACACTGATGACAACTTATGCTGGAGAGGTTGTAGGGGAAAGGGAACACTTCTGCATTGCTGGTGGGAATACAAGCTGGTACAGCCCCTTTGGATGTCAGTGTGGCAATTTCTCAGAAAATTAGGAAACAACCTTCCTCAAGACCCAGTAATACCACTTTTGGGTATATATCCAAAGGATGCTCAATCGTGCCACAAGGACATGTGCTCAACTATGTTCATAGCAGCTTTGTTTGTCATAGCCAGAACCTGGAAACAACTTAATTGTCCCTCGACTGAAGAATGGATAAGGAAATGGAGTACTACACAACAGAAAAAAAAAAAAAAACGGACAGCTTGAATTTAGCAGGAAAATGGATGGAACTAGAAAACATTATTTTGAGTGAGGTAACCCAGACACAGAAAGACAATTATCACATGTACTCACTCATAGGTGATTTTTAAACATAAAACAAAGAAAGCCAGCCTACAAACCACAATCCCAGAGAACCTAGACAACAACGAGGACACTAAGAGAGACTTACATAGAGAGAATCTACATGGGAAATAGAAAGTATAAAAAGACAAGATCTCCTGAGTAAATTGGGAGCATGGGTACCTTGGGGGAGGGTTGAAAGGTGGAGGGGAAAGGCAGGGAGGGGAGCATAGAAAAATGTAGAGCTCAATAAAAATCAATAAAAAAAGAGACAGAGAGCTGATTGGCAACTGTAAGACACACACCAATAAGCAAGTCCACACTGCAGAACTAGGCAGTACAGGCATGCAGGAAGCATGATGGGCGGAGCTGAACAAATCTGCATGACACAAGTCTGGGGAGAGTTTGTAATACTATAGTTTGGGGGAATTTTGTCTTTTTTTTTTCTTTTTCTTTTCTTTTCTCCTTTCAAGGAAGAATCTCTCAGCCGGTCGGTGGTGGCACGCGCCTTTATTTTTTTTATTTTTTTTTGGTTTTTCGAGACAGGGTTTCTCTGTGGTTTTGGAGCCTGTCCTGGAACTAGCGTGCGCCACCACCGCCCGGCCTTTAATTCCAGCACTTGAGAGGCAGAGGCAGGTGGATCTCTGTGAGTTCAAGGCCAGTCTGATCTACAAGGGCTAGTTCCAGGACAGGCTTCAAAGCCACAGAGAAACCCTGTCTCAAAAAACAAGAAAGAAAGAAAGAAAGAAAGAAAGAAAGAAAGAAAGAAAGAAAAATAATCTTTCTATGTAACAGTGTAACATCCCTTGCCATCCTGAACTCACTTTGTAGACCAGGCTGGCCTCAAGCTCAGAGATCCACGTGCCTCTGCCTCCTGAGTGCTGGAATTAAAGGCGTGCACACCACTGCCTGGCTTTTCTTTCTTTCTTTTTTATTCTTTTTTTCAAGACAGGGTTTCTGCATGGGATAAAACCGGACTGGCTGAACATAGTGGACAATGAGGACTACTGAGAACTCAAGAACAATGGCAATGGGTTTTTGATCCTACTGCACATACTGGCTTTGGGGGAGCCTAGGCAGTTTGGATGCTCACCTTACTAGACCTGGATGGAGGTGGGTGGTCCTTGGACCTCCCACAGGTCAGGGAACCCTGATTGCTCTTCGAGCTGATGAGGGAGGGGGACTTGATCGGGGGAGGGGGAGGGAAATGGGAGGCGGTGGCGGGGAGGAGGCAGAAATCTTTAATAATAAAAAAAAAAAAAGACAGGGTTTCTCTGTGTAACAGCCCTATCTTTTCTGGAATTAACTCTTGTAGACCAGGACTGGCCTCAAACTCACATAGATCTGCCTGCTTCCGCCTTCCGGGTTTTTAAGCATTTTTTAAGAAAGTCTATGTAAGCCTGGGGGGGGGGGGTGGCACAGGCCTTTAATCCCAGCACAGGAGGCAGAGGCAGGCCTGTGAGTTCGAGGCCAGCCTGGTCTACAAGAGCTAGTTCCAGGACAGGAACCAAAAGCTAAGGAGAAACCCTGTCTCAAAAATACAAAAACAAAAACAAACAAACAAAAAAAAAAGTCTATGTACCCTGGCTAGCTCGGAACCACTTATGAAGACCAGGATGACTTCAAACCCAAGTGATCCACCCATCTCTCTCCTAAATGCTGGTTTTAGGGCTCCATCCTGGCCCTCCTATACCATGTTTGTCGCGTTTTCGAAGAGATCACCAGGTTCTCCTTATAAATATCAGTTCATAAGGCCCAGGCATCACAGATAGTGATCTATCCTGAAATATTCACCAGACAGAATTCCAACAGCAAACACCGAAAGTAAAAGAAACAAACAGGAAAAGGATTCTGGAAGAAAGACACTGCAAGCAGCAAGAAGAGTGGGAAAGTCCCCCCCCCCCCCCACACACACACACACAAAGAGAGAGAGAGAGAATTTTATGGTCCTGAGAGCATGGTGGCTATAATCCCAGGACCCAGGCTGAAGTAGGAGATCACTGAAATTCACAAGCTCACTGGCCTGTGAGATGGCTCAGGCCCTGGTTGCCAGATCCCTTGGCCCCACACGGTAGAAGAGAACTGTCTCCTGCAATAGTCCTCTGACGTCCACACCTGCATGGTGATGCCTGCTCTCCACTCCCCACACACACTAAATAAGTGAATGTAAAAACTTTAAAGTTCACACATTCAAAACCATACTAACACCAATCACAAGACCATTAAAAAAAAAACAAAAAAAACCTCTAACCCCCCCCTCAAAAAAAAAGATCCCAAACTGATTAAGAATAAAAAATTGTTAGACTCTAAAGTCTAGAAATTATCCCTAAGAAAATACATTAAAATAAACCAGAAACGGGTGAAAATGTGAGAAAAAGAAATTCAAATGTAAACAGTCAGTTTAGGTCTGGGGCTATAGCTTAGTAGTACAACACTTGTCTAGCATGTGAGAGGCTTTGGATTCTCAAGTGTGGAGGGGAGAGAGAAGAGGAGGGGAGGGGAGGAGAGAGGAGAAAGAGCATTAAGGATACGCCAGGTATGGCAGTGCACACCTGTAACCCCAGCAGTCAACTGGGGAAGTTTAGGCAGGCAGATCTCTGGCCTGAACTACACAGTGAAATCTTGTTTCAAAAAATATATACAATTTAGAGAACTAACCCATGACGTCCTCATACAACATATTATAGGACGAGTCTCAGTAAGAGAACAAGGAGAGAAAACACCAAGGCCCAAGTGGGGAAAAAAACGAAAAAAGAAAGCCTTCGCAAAGGCCAAGGCTTCCTCGGAAGCTGAGTTCTTAGCTCACTTTTCTACTTGCCCACCATCTAAGAGTCACGAAGTCTTCCCACCCATTTTCTTCCAAAGCCCGCGCGAACCTGGGGAGGAGATTTTCGGTAGAAGTGCTTGAGCTGTTCATAGGGCAGAGGTAGCTGTTGGCGTTGGTACATGACATGCTTTAGAAGTTCACAAGTAAACTGACAGCAGCCTTCCTGGCTCACAGGCCCGGGGAACACCACCGGCACCAAGTCTCTTGGGCGAAAGGGCTCCGAAGGTTCCTGAACTGACGTGATGACGGTCTCAGGCTCTACTTGAGGAGCGTGAGTTTCTTCCGACTTCTCATACCAATCCAAATCTAGTCCGTGAATGAAAGGGTAAAGGGGGAGATTAAAATCAACATCAGTCTTCTCGTTCCCAGGGGTCACACCTGCAGACACCCATATATACTCTGGACGGTGACAGGAGACCTGATCCTGACTGGGAGCGACTTAAACGACATCAGGACAGGAGGGGACTTTCGGAGGCAGAGACTAAGGCTTCGCTATGAAGTGTGAAGTGGGGGCCAGCACACCCAAAAGGACAGGACAGGAGAAGCAGCTCCACCCAACGCGAGGAAGTGACCCACAGAGCCAGCTCCGGCCAGGACACCGGGAACCAAGGAGACAGGGAGGAACGACGGAGGAAGCGCCAGTCACTAAATGCCTTTTGGCAGGTAGCAACAGGGAAGAAACGGGCCCCCAAGTTTTGGATCCCACGCCTTACCCGGGGCGGCCGCAGGAGACAGACCCTCTGGCTCGGGCGCAGCCATAGCTACTGCCTGCTTAGTCGCCCTGCGGTTAGAAGAGACGGCGCGCGGAGCATCATGGGAAGCTTCAACACCACTTCCGATTCCTACTGGCCGGAAGAAGCTCAGCGCGGCCTCTGGGTGGTGGAGGTTAGAATTAGCTGCACACCCGGGAAAAGGAACGCTTGGCCTTTCCCACTTGGCTGATCCGCGTCCTCCGGGGCTGCCTTCCTAAGGGCGCCTCCTTTCACGCCAGCTCCCCGCGCACCCCACTGCGCGCCTGCTTGGTGGCAGGCCCTGTCCTAGGTGCTGGAGACTCAGCCGCGGTCAATCTCAGGCCCCTTTAGGATTAGACAGTGTGAAGAACGGGGACACCTGCCCCAGAGCGGGTTGGGGCAGGGTTAGGGTTAGTGTAGGGGAAGGGTGGTCCCCTGAGCGTATGCCCTGTGACCTATAGGTAAAGTTAGCTAGGTAAAAAAGAAGATCCTAGTGTTTGAGATCTTGAGAGACAACGTTCTCTGTTCAAGGACTAGAAGAAATATAGAGTTAAAGGTTTTTCCCAGTGGTGGTGGCACACGCCTTTAATCCTAACACTACAGGCGGATCTCTGAGTTCGAGGCCAACCTGGTTTACAGAGTGAGTTCCAGGATAGGTTCCAAACCGACAGAGAAACCCTGTCTCAAACAAAAAAAGGAAGGATGGAAGGAAGGAAGAAAAAGAAAGGACAGACTCCCTCCACACTACTCTATGACAGGCTCACACAGAAACACAAAGTAGCAAACTGCCTGTTTGGGGGCCGCAAGCAAGATGGCTGAGAAGATAAAGGCACTTGCAGTCAGAACTGATGACTTGAATATAATTCTCCTGACACACATAATAGGAGAAGAGAACAGACTCCCACAAGTTGTCCTCTCACCTCAGCACCACACATGAGTGCCACACAAGTGTAACCATTTTAATTTACATTTTTGTAAACATAACCCTTACACTTGCTACAGTGTAGACTGACTGACAGGGACGATGAGGCAGGCTTCCCAGTTAGAGGTGGTACCAACGTGGTTCAGTGCTTGGTGAAAGAGGTTGCAACTAGGGAAATTTGTTTTGTTTGATACAAAGTCTCACTATGTAGCTACGCTGGCCTGGATCTCACAGAGATCTACTTGCCTCTGCCTCCCAAGTGCTGGGATTAGGGTGTGTGCCCCCCCCCCCAATCCATCCCACCTAATATTTATTTGACTTTGAGTGATACAGCTGGGCAGTCCTGGCACACACCTTTAATCCTAGCAGACAGATCTCTGAGTTCGAGGCCAACCTGGTCTACAGAGTGAGTTCCAGGACAGACAGGGCAACACAGAGAAATCCTGTCTTGAAAAAAAAACCAAACCAAATAAGAACCCAACAAAAATGGGCATACAAATTAAACATTTGACGATAATAAATCAAAGAAGTTTATTTTAAACCTGTCTAGGGACATGGTTCAGTTCGTATTGTGCATGAACCCTATAGGTTTGATTCCCAGAAATACAAAAAGTGCAACCTGTGGGGGCCAGCCGTGAAAGCCAAGTCTGAGCAGGTCATCCAAAGGAAGTTCTTTATTTCCAACCATTATCACCTGGGACTCTGGCCATCGATAAATTTAAATGGAATCTGGAGTCTCAATAGTTTACCCTGATACACTGCCTGGCAGGCCGAGGTTGCCAGACCCCCACCCAGGAGCAGATCATTCAAAGGAAATTCCTGGCATTCCAAGCACTGTAGATAGAAACACCTGCCAGAATTTTACCAGGACACCCCTAGACAAATGTCAGCCAATCAGGGGTCTTGAACCTCAGAGACCCCTCACCCCCACCCTTACTACTATGAAAACCCAATTCTAATTGAGCTCGGGGCTCTCCAGATGTTTCAATATGTTGGACATGTGGAGAGACCTAGTTTGCAAACTTGATTAAAATAAAGGCTCTTTGCTTTTACATATGGGACTCAGTCTCCTTTGTTGACTTTTGTGGGGACCCACAGATTTGGGTATAACACAACCTATCCCAATTTAAGTGGCTAAGAAACATTTAAATAGATTTCTAAAACAGTTCTTTGATGTACATATAATTTTACTATTTATTAGAGACAAAAGCAAATTTTCATTCTAATGAAATGGATGTGCTTGTTCCTCTAATACAAAGATAGACTAATGTAGTCGGATTTTATTAGGACTGCCAGCTCAGAAATGACATGGAGATTTCTTATTAATTATGAAAGGTCAGCCTTAGCTTAGCCTTGTCCCACTAGCTCTTATAGCTTATATTAACCCCTTTTTCTAATCTGCATTCTGTTCTGTGGCTCGTTACCTGGTTGAGGCCAGCCTTGTCTACAGAATTAGTTCCAGGACAGCCAGGGTAACATAGAAAAACCCTGTCTCCATCTAAGAAGGAAAATATTCTTGTTGTGAAATATTATTTTAAGATGGGTTAAATTTGTTTATGCTGTGGAACATTTGTTTAATGATGCAAAGATATGTCACATTCTTTTATGTTGCATTTGTTTAACTCTGTGAAGCTCTGTTACTTTGCCTGTCTATAATACCTGATTGGTCTAATAAAGAGCTGAATGGCCTATAGTGAGGCAGGAGAAAGGATAGGCGGGGCTGGTAGGCAGAGAGGATAAATAGAAGGAGGAGGAAAGTGTGAGAGGACTCAAGGGTCCAGTCACCCAGCTACACAACAAGCCAAGCCATGGAGTAAGAAGTCTAGAGAAAGGTAAAAGCCCAGAAGCAAAAGATAGACAGGATAATTTAAGTTAAAAAAAAAAACTAGTTAAAAATAAGCCAAGCTTAGGCCAAGCATTTATAAGAAATTAGTCTCCATGTGATTAATTTGGGAGCTGGATGGTGGGCCCCCAACAAGTAAAGAGTCAAAAGAGTAAGAGGAAAAATAATCAACAGCATGTCTAGTGAATATAATTTAATGTAGCGGTGGGTTTGAAGAGGAGAAGAAATAGAAAGTCACCCTCAGGAAGACAAGAGCAGCCATGCAGTGGCCAGCACCTGAGATCTCAGCACCTCGGAGACTTTGACACAAGCCTAGAATACATACATAGTGACTCTGTCGCCTCTGGGTTCCAGGAACAGAATTTCTGTCATCAGATTTAAACAGAAAGTTCTTTTACCCACTGAATCTTCTCGCCCCTTGAGACCCTTTCTTTAAAACAAACAAAAAATGAAGATGGTTGGTGGCATGCGCCTTTAATCTCAGCACTTAGAGGCAGGTGGATCTCTGTAAGTTCAAGGACAGCCTGGTCTACAGAGCAAGTTCCAGGACTGGCTCCATAGCTACTAAGAAACCCTGTCTCAAAAAAAAAAATTATAAAGTGAAAAAGAAAAAGACAAGTAGGTTTCTGACTTCAGCGGCCATAGGACCACCTGTATAGTGGTTGACAAAATAGGAGATGAAGGCATATTAGGAAGGGGGAAAGATAAGCTCAGCTTTTCCCAGGGAGAGTTAAATATCTCTTGGATACAGTAGTAGTATATGTAGAACATACTTTATTTACAATAGAGGCAAGTATGAGGGAGTCCTCTGATTATATGACCCAGAGAGGATGTATAAAACAGAATAAGCCAGATCCTGAAGCCATTAAGGAGAGAAAAGAGCCTGCAGGAGCCACCGAGGAATGCTGAGAAAAGTATGAAGAAAGAGCCAAGGGCCAGGGCACAGAGATCAAGACTAGAGTGCGTTTTGGGAAGTAGGGACCAGAGGTCAAAACATACTGTAATAGCACAATGATTAAAATATTGTAAGGGGGGGCTGGAGAGATGGCTCAGAGGTTAAGAGCACTGACTGCTTTTCCAGAGGTCCTGAGTTCAATTCCCAGCAACCACATGGTGGCTTACAACCATCTGTAATGAGACCTGGTGCCCCCTTCTGGCTTGCAGGCACACGTGGAAGGAATGCTATACACATAATATAATAAATAAATTTAAAAAAAATATTGTAAGGGGCTGAAGAGATGGTTCAGTGGTTAAGAGTACATTCTGCTCTTGCAAAGGTCTACAGTGGTAGAATGCTGGGCTAGAATGCACGACAGTCTTGGTTCAACACTGTGTAGGAAATTGATAATAGAATAAAAGAAATTAAACATTGGAACCCAGAATAGATAGGTGTATATGTAGATCTTAGTATACAACAGTGGCAGCTTCTTCAAGTAACTACCACAAGGTAAACCCAGGTCTGGTGCTGAAGGCCTGCAGTCCCAGCTCAGTGGATAGCTGAGATAGGTGAGTCACAAGTTCAAGGCTAATCTGGATAATTTAGCAAGGTACTTTCTCAAAAAGTGAAAAACAGGGTCAGGAAGTAGAATGCTTGAGAAACAGGATGGGGGAGATCCATTAAAAATAAAATTAGTTTCTACTATACACTAAAAATGGTATAGTTCAAGCGGATTAAAGTAAGTGTAAAATACACGTGAAAGACAGCTGGGTGCTGGTGGTGGTTGTTCACTACTTTAATCCCAGCTCTCAGGAAGCAGAGGCAGGCAGATCTCTGAGAGTTCAAGACCAGTCTGGTCTACAGAGTGAGTTCCAGGACAGCCAGGGCTACATGGAGAAACCCTGTCTCAGAACATGCAGGAAAATCACTGTAGGAAGCTAGCAGAGAAGCACAGTGGAAAGCTGCACATCAAGCAATGAGGCTCTGGGTTCAAATGTTAGTATAAAAAAAAACACCAAAAGGCCAGCAAGATGGCTTAGTGGGTAAAGGCACTTGCTGCCAAGTCTGGTGACCTGAATTTAATTCCAGAGCCCATATAATAGGGCATGATAGATTCCTGCAAGTTGCCCTCTGAGCTCCACATGTACATCATAGTGTACACACATGCACATAGAATAAATGTAAAATTTTAACAGATGTAATTTTTGATTATGTGTATATCTATAATTAGGACTGTGCACATAAGTGCAATCTTGTGAAGAGGCTACCAGGTCCCCTGGAGTTGGGGTTAAAGGCAGTGCTAACTCAACCAAAATTGATGCTGGGAACTGAACTCTGGGCGTCTGTAAGAACAACAAGAACACTTAACTACTGAGCCATCTCTTTAGAGCCCCAAGTGTAAAATTTTTTTAA